GAAGACCCCCAATGAGATGAATTGGCACAGTGGCAGCAGCAATGGGCTCAAGTGTGACAGCAATTGTGAGGATGGTGCCATACAAGGCGGTGTTTCGTTCTGTTATGCATAGGATCTCTATGAGTTGGAATCGACTCGACAACGACAGCACTTAACATCAACAACAATACGTCATATTTACAGGAGCAGACAGCCACAGCTTTCTTCACAGGAGCAGCCAGTGAGTTCAAGCCACCAGTTTTTCTGTTCCCTGCCACATGCAAAGCCTCCTCCTTTCCTGACCAGCCCCCAGTAAATCCCTAGGTGCTGAGTCTCTAACAAGCTTCCCTGATGGACAACATGTCATGTGTGTTGTCTCCGTTCGTTGCTAGAAGAATTAAATGGATCCTGGTGGCTCCGTAGGATAAGCACTGGCCTTCTAATAACATGCTTGGCAGTTCAAACCCACCATTCGCTCCGTGGGAGAAAGATGAGGCTTTTTACAGCTCCCATAAAGATTTACAGCCTCGGTAATCCTACACAGGGTTGTGATAAGTAGGAATCGATTCCATAGCAGTAGGTGTAGAGACGATGACGTGGAGAGATGGAGCGGATGGGGACTCTGGAATCAGGGACAGAGGGGGCTGTGTACTGACAACCGTGAGGTAAGCTTGCAGGGTATGCCCTTTGGTTGTTCAAGTGGTTGTATATTCCTGAGTGCTTCAGTATACATCCAGAAAAAAACCAGAGGGAATAGAAGCAAATCCTGTTGAAGGATGATACATGGAGAGGATTGTAATCGTTGCAACGAAATGAAATACAATACAATAGAGTGAGTGTAAAGCCGATGTTTTCCCATGTAAATTATCACTCAATTCACAATAAAAACTTTTTTTAAAAAAAAGGTATTTGCAATGAAGAAGTCATTGGTCTTGCAGAATTCTGTCATGAGATTTCCAGCACCATTTCTATCACCAAGGCCGTATTTTCCAACTACTGATCCTTCCTCTTTGTTTCCAACCTTTGTATTCCAATCTTCAGTAATTATCAATACCTCTGGATTGCATGTCTCATGGTGGGCTTGCAGACCCCTAATATGCCAGCCATTTGTCTTAATTCGCTGGTGCTGTTATAGTACGACCGTCCAAGTGGGTGGCAGGCAGGTAACAAATAGAAATGCATTTTCTCTCTCTTCAGGGGGTTAGAAATCTGAATTCAAGGCACTGGATGTAGGGGAAGGAGCTCTGGTAGTGCAGTGGTTAAGCACTCCGCTACTACCCACAAGACTGGAAGTTTGAACCCTCAGAAAAGAGATGAGCCAGTCTGCTTCTGTAAAGACAAGCTGGGAATCTCTCTGTGCAGTCCCACTCTGCCCTAGAGAATGATCTAAGTCGGGATGGAGAGGGCAGGAGGCAGGGGGTTTTCTGCGCTCTTCAGAAAGGCTATCTCTGTGGAATCTGGGGAGAACCCTCGTCTTGGCTTCTCTATCACCCTTCTCCAAGTTCCTGGAAGCCACATAGAAGGCTCCATGTTTCCTCTACTTGGGTTTGCTTTGCTCTGTCTACTCAGGTCTTTCTACACCTCAAAACACCTTCATTTTTCAGACACACCCTACACGGATATGGTCTTATTGACTTAGCAAAGAAAACTCGGTTCCCCAATGGGACTACACCCGCTGCCCTAGGGGACAGGGTTCCAACACGTGTTTTAGGGAGACACAATTCAATCCATAATACAAGTTGACCTTGAGTAAGTCGCTTGACCCAGCTGTGCCTCAATGTCCATTACCATCGTTGAAATGGAGGTGATTTAACAGCAGACTGCATCTCACTAGACTGTGCTGGACAGCAAATTATTCCACAAGCATGAATTGTGTAGAATGCCTATCACGTTGTTGTTGCTGTTAGTTGTAGTGTTTTGGGTCGAACTCATGATGTGTAACAGAACCAAATGCTTCTCAGCCCAACTCATGACGTGTAACAGAACCAAATGCTTCTCAGCCCAACTCATGACGTGTAACAGAACCAAATGCTTCTCAGCCCAACTCATGACGTGTAACAGAACCAAATGCTTCTCAGCCCAACTCATGACGTGTAACAGAACCAAACACTGCCCAGCCCCGTACCACTTTCATGATTGTTGTATAAGAGCTGTGATGGTTTAGATACAACTAGTGGTCTCTTCTCATCTGGAGCACAGCAGAGTGAAGAAAGCCAAAGACTCAAGGACACTGAGTCCAAAAGACCAATGGCCCACACACCCTACAGCCCCACTAGCCTGAGCCTAGAACTAGCTGGTGCCCAGCTCCCACCACCGACCACTCAGACCAGATCACAATAGAAGATCCCGCATAGAGTGGGACACAAAATTCAAAATCATAAAAAAGACCAGACTTATTGGTCTAACAGAGACGGGTAGGATCCTTGAGACTGTGGTCTTTAGACACGCCTCCAACCTGGAACTGAATCCACCCTGGAGACCACCTTTCAGCCAAACAACAGACATATAAATGCAGTGAACAGTAATGCCCTTGAGGAACATGTTCCTCAGAACAGTCAATCATATGAGACGGAAAGGGCAGCATTTACCCAAAACACACAGGTCCGAAGGCAGGAAAGGGCAGGGAAGAAATGGAAAGGGGGAGCCCGAGGAGGAAGGAGCAAGAGTGCAATTCCACAGAGAGGATTGCAAGCCATGCTGCGAAATAAAAAGTGTAGAAATTATTGCATTAAAAAAAAACAACGTAGTCTGTAAACTTTCACCTAAACCACAACAAAATGCTGAAAAAGAAAAAAAGACAGGTGAACAGTTGTTATCTAGTGAATAAATCTGTGATTAATTCATGAACTGAGAGGAGAATGCTTAATTATGAGGGATGTTCAAATGGATGAACAAAGCCCTGAAATCTTCTGGGGCGAACAGCAGAAGCGGGGAGCAGCCCCGGGACCCCACACTCTGAAAAGACCTGTGAAGTCAAAGCTTCAGCACCTGCTGGTTCAGGTGGGAGGCCTTGGGGACAGATAGGAGGACAGGGGGTGGGTACAGCCCCAGCCTGTCCAGGTGGGGAGCCTTGGGGACAGGTAGGAGGACGGGGGGTGGGTACAGCCTCAGCCTGTCCAGGTGGGGGCCTTGGGGACAGATAGGAGGACAGGGGG